ACACACACACACACACACACAGACACACACACACACACACACACACACACAGACACACACACACCAACATGTGGATTCAGTCCAAAAGTGAGGAAACAGGCAGATACAGGGTTCTGATTTAAACATGTGCAAAAATATCATTTTGTCAAAAATATAATGAATTAATGTCTTATTAATGTATCGTTTGAATGAACTGTGTGAAATATAATCATTAAAAACATTTTTGAAGCATTTTTTTTAGCAGTAGCAACAAAAAAATCTGATTTTGATGAAAAACACATTAAACTTTAGAATTTTTCCCTGTGAGTTGGCAATGTTTTGGTTTCTTTCCAACTGGAAATCTTAATATACAAATAATTTTTAATGTTTCCTCTTTATATTAACATCAAAAATGACTCAATAAATTTATATAAAACAAGGATTCAGACCAAACAGTGATGTATTTTATAACCAACAAGACAAATGAAGTCAGATCTGATCAGTTGATGATATCAGAATTAAAATGTAGTTTTTAAAGCAGGAATCTGAAAATYTAATTAGATCATTTTGATGAAATTTGATTTAATCCTCATTTCGATATGATGGCTCACAGATCTGAAGTTAAAACTCATTTCAGTGAATTGTAAAATCGATATAAAAATAAAGACTGTTTCTGTGTAAAATGTAAACACAAAGAAAATGTTCATGTTTGACCTGGTTACTGAGAATAAACTGAGTTTCAGAAATCATTCCAAACTTTTCCAGATGAGAGGATGAAAACTTGAGAATGTCACCACACTGGTTTCTGTAGAAATGTTGGTGCGTGGACATGACGGTGTGTTTCCTGGGGATGTGACGGTGCTGATTGGAGCAGCAGGAAGTTACCTGAAACAATCACCTGTGTGTCAGAGGTGCTCAGGGCCAGCAGCACTTAGTCAGGCTGAAAACACAGATTGGCTTTGCACCATGAAGAGCTGCCTGTCACACCACAAGGTTGTCCTGAGATGAAATGACTCAATTAAAACGATACGAGCTGTGTCCCAGGCCAGGCTGACAGGGTCCCATGTGTGTCCAAGTGAGGACCACCCTTGTAAAGATGGATGCTCTTTTTCTGACACGGTGTCTGGCTGCTCATCAATGGATCAGAGCAGCAGCAGAACTTAATGACCTGGAAAACCCAGTCAGAGATCAGCAGAGCTTTAAATACTGAGCACTGAAGACAGGAGGCATGTTCACATCCCAGACCCCCTCAGCCCAGACCCCAAGCCTGCAGGCCTGTTTGTCCAATCGACTATTGAATAAATAAAGTTCTACTGTAACGGAAATAATACTTTTAGGTTTAAGCCAGTAATTTATGACATATTTTAAAGACTTAAGTTTTCATGACATGCTGTTCATCAGCAGATAGACTGACCAAAGTCAGAATAAGATCTGCTAACAACGATAATCATTCTTAGATATCACTTGTGTTTATCTTTGTGTTTTCCCTCCAGCATTTCCTTAGGATGAAATCTAGCTTCATTAAGATGACATAATAGTGTTTATTATTCCACAGAGTACCTTCATTCTTGGACCATGTATTTCTGTCTTTGTTAAATAAATATTTCCACAACATTTGGCGTCAACGAACAGGATCCACTAGGAGAACAATGGACCAAGACCACATGGCAGGTGGACTGATATGAGTGAGCAGGACTGCTCAGGACCGTGACTCCAGCTGGATCTAAAGAACCTTTTTAAGCTGGTGACCACCGACCGTGAAGAATGATCTTGAATAAGCAGAGAACATTGGATTTTATTTTTGGCTGTTGAAGAACCTGAGAAGATTTTATAAAATCACCTGCTGACAGTGAGTGCAGAAAGCTTTAAGATGTCTCCTTTCTTTTCCAAAGATGATTTCTGCCAGCTTCTCCAAAAAGTGACTCTCAGGAAGGATTCAGCTCTTAGATGACAACAAATGGCCAGAGTTACAGAGAAAAACCTTTTCACCACCAGCAAGGAGAAGAAAGCAGTGACAGGCCTTAAAATGTCCGGTCTACAGGGCCTTTAAAATATCTGGATCTGCAGGGCTTTAAAAACGTCTGGATCTGCAGGGCTTTAAAAACATCTGGTCTACAGGGCCTTAAAAACATCTGGTCTACAGGGCCTTAAAAATGTCTGGTCTACAGAGCCTTAAACATCTGGTCTACATGGCCTTAAAAATAAGTGGTCTACATGTTCTTCAAAAAATCTGGTCTACAGGGCCTTATAANGCCTTAAACATCTGGTCTACATGGCCTTAAAAATAAGTGGTCTACATGTTCTTCAAAAAATCTGGTCTACAGGGCCTTATAAACATCTGGTCTACGGGGCCTTAAAATGTCTGGTCTACAGAGCCTTAAAAACATCTGGTCTACAGGGCCTTAAAAATATCTGGACTACATGGTCTTCAAAACTATCTGGTCTACATGGCCTTAAAACATCTGGTGTACATGGCCTTAAAAACATCTGGCCTACAGGGCCTTAAAAGATCTGGTCTACGTGGCCTTAAAGCATCTGGTCTACATGGCCTTAAAACATCAGGTCTACATGGCCTTAAAACATCTGGTCTACATGGCCTTAAAACTATCTGGTCTACAGGGCTTTAAAAACATCTGGATCTGCAGGGCTTTAAAAACATCTGGGGGGCCTTAAAAACCACAAGAAGAATTAATTGCCGGGAGGGAGGGAGGGAGTTTGGTTGGTTGGTTGTTTGGTTGGTCTACATGGCCTTAAAAACAAGTGGTCTACATGTTCTTCAAAAAATCTGGTCTACAGGGCCTTAAAAATGTCTGGTCTACAGAGCCTTAAAAACATCTGGTCTACAGGGCCTTAAAAATAGCTGGACTGCATGGTCTTCAAATCTATCTGGTCTACATGGC